GTGTGTTTTAATCATTCCGATTCTTAATTTTCTTTATCTTCGTCGTCCTCGCTATTGGTTAAGTCTGGAACTAACTCAGCAGGATATAACTGATCGGAATCAAAAGTTTTATCGAGTAACAGATATTCCTTAATTTGACTATCAAGCTTAGAACTTTTTGTAGAAGAAGTTCGTCTAAGACTTTATAGTTCCGGATCAGAGGTTAATAATAGAGCCCTCATGATATCCATATTTGAGTTAATCCTCGACGTTTTGCGGGAATGATATAATCTAATTTGTCGCACTTCCTTGTGCCGAGCTTCCAAAGCTTCTTCTGACAACTGGCCAACTGGCAATTCGAAAAATTGGATTATATCACACCCATGCACCAAAACTTTATGGACGGAACTGGGCATATAATACCAAGGATAAAATTGTAAATATAATTGTCTCGTCTCTTTTAATAAAACACCAAAATTAGTGGTGTCTATTTTATAACCGCTAGCTAATACCCTTAAAATTAACGAAAATTTCAAAATTAACTGTTTATCAATTCCTGTTATAGCAGCAGACATTTCGGGATCATTAAAAAATCTTCTGGCTGTGTTGCCGTCGTTAGTTGACCCGTAACCTGGCTTTGGTTTATCCACCACCAATCCCATTTTACATTTGAAATCCTGTTGGATTCGTCTTTTCGTTGTTTCAAAATTTCTTTTATCTTCAGTTCCCCTTACCTGCCACCTCTTAAAAGGTAGCCGATAAGCAATATGTAACAAACATTCGAAAAAACGAATCCAACAGTGTAACGTGGATAGTCCGAAACGATAATTTTGAACATTAGGGAGTTTATTAAGGCAACGTCTGTATTCATCTCTGGGACTAGCTCCGCAGACTAAACATTTTGAAGTGGAATTAGTGTTGGACAAAATATTTGCAACACTCCCATCGAACATCGTAAATAATAACTCGAATAAAATATTAATGTTCTTTCCTTTGTAACAGGTGTTGTAATCAATTAACTGATTAATTATTTTTTTAAGTTTATCTTGTTCTAAGCGAACTAACTCGGCATTTTCTTTTAAAAATACGAATTTTATTGGTCTGCAAAATAGAGTTGAGGACGTTCTTGGATTTTGCCATATAACTGAATCGCTTGTTAAGTCCACTAATTTTAAGGGTGAAAACGCTATTAAAACATAAATTCATCCGTGCTATTTATGTCTTGGTTAAATTTTTGTTTATAAAGACTATGCCCCCAGCTACCATCGAAACCCCACTTGCAAATTAACTTTAAGCGAGAATTCAACTGATCAGTTGTCAATATATTTAGAATGCTTGACGCCGTTTTTTCTAGAACTTCCTGAAGATTGATTTCGGCTGATATTTCAGTGACATTAATGTTTGTTGGTAAATATAATTGTTTGGTTTGTACTAGGGCGTGGTAGCTCGGGAAACAGTCTTTATGTATAACGTTTACGACAGATCTTAATATGTTATATTTTTTTACTGACAAATTAAGATCTAAATATAATGCTAGCGCTTGTTTTGCGCTAAGACCTGGTAAAATTGTCTTTTTTGAACATGTTGGTTCTGACTTGAAATTCTGCAGTTGGCTTTGTTAAGAGCTCCTCTACTCTTCGTTTTTTGGTTTTTATTGAGGCTTCTTCAAACGATTTTCGAGGTCTTCCACGGCTTGAACTAGCGTTTTCGGAACTCGTAGTAGCAAAAGATGTTATACTTTGGGTAAAAAAAGAATTTAACCAGACTTCATGTCGCTTCTGAAATATTTTGCGATTTCTGTTCGATATTTATTGCGACTTCTTTCCATATTTTCTCCAAGTTCATGCAAAAAATGAACTTTTTTTACGCAAAACATGCACTGTTTCATCCGAAATATCTTCATTTTTGAGTAAAGCCTTCAATTTTAGAAAAATATTATTTGTTTTTTCTGATTTCTTCGACTTGAGCCAATGTTCAAATAACTCTCTATTTTTGACAACAATGTTCACGTCTAAGAAAAAACGAAAATAATGAAAATTCGCAAATATTCGCAAAAATCAAAAGCATTGTCATTTAGCTGAATACATCAAAAAACAATTTATAAAATTTCTCCGATATATTTTGACATATATTTTTTATAAGATTCGCCAAATATTAGAGTAAATTATTTCTGCAACGTTTGGTATACACAATTTTAGAGAATGAATGTATCGAAAACTAAGCAGCAATAAAATATATTTTACCGAATTCTTAAAGTTTTTACCTCTAATTTTATTGTCCATTATATGAAATTCTTACAATATTAAGTCGTCTCACGTTATAACACTAAAAACTTTCTTGAAAATATGATATCTATATTATAACACGCGGGACAGATTTTTAATGCGACTTTACGCTGTCAGCAGAAATTACTGTCAACAATTTAACGGCTGCTAATTTGTTTATCTAAGCCTACTAGGTTTGTAGATGCAAAGCATTATTTTTACATTTGGCTCTTTGAATAAGAAGACTAAGGAAGGAGCATAATGCTATCCATGTATTCATGCATGGTGGGCCGGGTGGGCGGAAAAGCCACCATAAAAGCTCTCTAGGGTGGGGATCCTTGACAGTTCTGTTTGACGATTCATTTGACACATTTGAATTTGATTTGAAATTTTGTGGATTTGTCAGTCTTTACGGAGCTTATTTTATGTTATTTATTATTTATTCTACTACTGATAGTTGTATAAAGGTAGTAAATCTAGATGGAAATTGTGGCAGAACTTAAATTAACAGTGACACTATCGCGATTTATCGAAAAAGACTCTAAAATAGTTGGTTGTGTAGCGTGCGGTAGATCTCGGCAAAAATTGAGTGAAATAATGGAACACCTTTTCGCTAGTAAGTGACTATATAATATACATACGTGTAGTAAACCGATCATTTATGAAATTCACTTAAAGTAACTAAATTATATATTTTTCTTGCATTTTAGCTTTTATTTATTACTTGTCAAAGATTAGTTGTCAAAGAATTTAGATACGTTAATTTGGCTTACCTGCTTCAGTAGCGTATCGGATGTTTGTGTTAATAAATACTTATTATAACTTATCTATTTTTATTAGAATTATATATTTTTATAACAATTTTAATAACTACCAACATTTATTCACAACGTAAAATAAAACAACAAATTATTGAGTCTACCCCACGTCTACCCTACATCATAGTTTTACATTTTTTAAATAAAATTAGAACGACACTGATAAACCGGAATTTAAGTCGGCCATATTTGAGGCCCATCGCGGTGTACCTAAGATTTTTGATATGCTCCTTCCTTAGTCTTCTTATTCAAAGATTTGGCTTAAATGACTTTGGTATTTTGATTTTTGTCCATGGCACACAACACTGTGGGGCCGGGCGGCCCAAAAAATGTCAGTAGATCGGAATTTTTTTAGACAGAAAACTTCTTAATAGCTTTACATAGGTAGTCCTAAAATATTATTAATTGGTTTTTATAATTTCAGAGATATAAATAAATAAATGAAAAAAATATATTTTTAAACTTTAAAAAAAAATATTATTATAATGTCATGAAAAATATCAAGATATGTCATGAAATCAAAACTAAGCTAGGTACTTACTAATGACTTACATACTATAGTTGTTCTGTACTTCAAATAGATCGTCATCAATCATATAGAATTCCAAGACAAATTTTCTAAAATATAGAATAAATTTTCTACGGTTTCTTTAACGAAACATCATCTCATATCCTAACCAAACCAAACCAAACATTTTTTTGTATTTAAAGCATTTTAAAAGTGTTAACGGTTTTGCAGATATTAGCAGGTATTGTTAATTGTTATCAAAGATGTTGTTTTTTTCAACGGTAAAATATGGTAAAATTCCAGATAAAAGTCATTAGGTGTGGCTTTGATAGAAATGTTCTTTTAATATTCCCGTAGTGTCTATTTTTCAAGAGTTCGCCTTATATTTAAATAAAAATGTGAATATTATTGATCGTCATTTTATGGTAACTTCTGAAGTAAATAGGCGTAGTTATTTCTTTTCTGGATCGTGAAGTATACAGGGTATTCCTTAATGACATGCTAATATTTAAGGGGGTGATTCTTGGTCCTATTCTAAGAGAAAAACTTCATATGAATGTAACATCTAAACATCTTAATTTCTGAGATACAGGGGAGTAAAATTTTCTAAAAAAAACTTTTTTCACAATAACTCTGATTTTATTATAGATATCTTTATGAATCTTAATACATGTTCTATCCATCAAAATACCTTTTTTGGTGTACAAAGAATTTTATTTATTTCAACCAGCGCCGTCTATACGGGTTTTACATTGAATATTTTTGGAAAAAAAGTGTTACACTACTGATTTCTCTTAAAATAAAAACTATCTTCAAAATATCCATTCATTTCTAAACATTGTCTATCTCTTCATTTTTTTCGTCCGACGCATTTTTGCTTAAAACATTAAAATCAGTTCATTTTAGGGTCAAATCGCTGAAAATCTAATGCGGTGACTGTCGGGTGAAAATCATTTCTGCATCGGCTGAAAGGAAATTAAGAAACGTTTTTTTTTAGAAGTGTTTACAAAAGTAGTTAAGTTTGTAGATTTTCTTGCAGTGACGAAATACCCATATAAGATTTTTAGGAGAGATTTTTTTTTGTTAATCAAAATATGCATCTTGATATCAAATATTAGATATATTTTGAAAAAAAGATTCAAATTATATATAAATTAGATATATTTTGAAAAAAAATAGAAAATTTTATCACCCTGTATCTGAAAAGTTAAGATATTTAGGACATATATTCCTATGATTTTTTTTTCTTAGAATAGGTCCAAAAATCACCTACTTAAATATTAGCATGTCATTAAGGAACACCCTGTATATTTTTATTTTTTAGCAGTGATACTTTCCCCAGAAGGTTGAAAATACAGACATATTATTACAGTATCTGTAATTAATTATTATTGATATTCAGTGAATATTAAAATAAGAATGCACTTTTAGTGGGAACATTTTATGGCCAAAAAACCAATACCTGGGAAAAATCATCCAGACGATGAGAAATTTCTGGCCGAAGCAAAAATATCTTTTGGTGACTATAAATTGAAAGAAAGCCCAGACTACAAAGTGAACGATGAAGATCGGGAAACAACAGTCAAACATTACAGGAAGCTATTGGACACAAGAGGCAAGGTAAATAGATATAATACAATTTATTTTTTTAGAATCTAACCAAACCAACTATTATCAACCGTGTGTTACGCCTACGGTGGGTTGTCTACCCTGTAAATCACCGATCTGTACTATGATGAATAAGTTTTTAAACCGGATAACGGATACATGAAAATCAAGCTTAATCCTCGAGGATCGACAAAAATCCTCGATACATACCGAGGATTTGAAAACTCGAGTAACCGAGTATTTTTTACTCGAGTGATCCCATCACTAGTATACGGGGTGCGTCTCAAAAGTGGCTCCCCCTAAAACTTTTTTATTTTTTTCTGATTAAAAAATTGTTTTCTGTCACTTCCTGTTTTACCGGAAATGACTACAACTTTTGATTTTTAAATGACACCCTCGGTATTTTTTTACTTTATTCTATAGAAAATGATATTCTGAATAGAATGACATATCATATGTCAAATTTTTGGTATTCTCGCTTAATAAAAAATCGTATTTTAAATTTCAATCTAGAGTGCCATGACTATGTTAAAAACGCTAATTTTTAATCAAGGGGTCTTGGAAAATTAGATCTGATGGTCTAACGTTTTTAATGTCTTGTACTGGCCGGTTAAAAGATACCCTATATATTGTATTTTTAATCATATCTCAATTTTTTCAAATGGAACGAGGGTGGCTCATAAGCATATTTGGAAAAGGCATTTTTTTACGAATAATTTGATACCATACACTTGGTATTTCAAGTCAAATTGTCGTTATGAACCGCCTGTTATAATTTCAAATAAACCATAATATGCGAAAATGTCAAAAGTTGACATAGGATATGTCATTCTATTCAGAGTGTTATTTTCTATTGAATAAAGTAAAAAATACCGAGGGTGCCATTTAAAAATCAAAAGTTGTAGTCATTTTCGGTGAAACAGAAAGTGACAGAAAACAATTCTTAAATACGAGTATATCTTGCGGACGTTTTAAACTAGGTATGCTGTATTAAAAAAAAACAATTTCCACGTTACTGTTAATTTTATTGACTTTCAGGTATCGTCGAAACATTATTATTTATTTATTTTACATATTTTTATATATTTATAATTTTTGTGTTTGCGTTGGTATATCTTTTGGGTATACATTTATCTCAAGACTGAGGTATTTTTTGTCTTAGGCTGTGTTGGGTCAGCTATTTTTTTGTACATAAATGTAGATTAACTTCATCAGTTTCAGTCTAACATTTTATTTAAACGTGTTTGGGCAAAACCAACAGTAAGATTAGCCATGAAAACGGAAGGCAGAAAGAATAAGTGTCTACGGGTAGTCATATTTTAGTCAAGTTTCCATGGCTAATCTTACTGTAGGTTTTGCCCAAATACGTTTATAGTTATTTACAGTACAAGTGTGTTTATGAACATGATTACAACGAGTGTGAACGATTAGAACGACGAGGTCGTAGACCTCGTCGTTCTAATCACACGAGTGTTGTAATCATGTTTAAACGCACGTGTCATGTACAACGTTTTATCTACAACCGAAAAATAAGAAAATGCTGTTTTCGTTTATTAGTCGCCCACTTTTAACACCTTTAACTATGACATTTGTCACATTTTTTTTGAAAAGTCGGTTTCTATGGTCAGTTTTGGTCAGTTTGCCCTGTCAAGTAAACGCGAGCACTTTTTGCCCAGAAAAATTATTTAAAAAATTATGATGAGCGATTCCGAAAGTCTCCCTTCAGATGTAGAAGTCGCCGCAGTACGTGCCACGGAATCATTATTGCCGGAAAAGTTAATATATTTAGATGTTCGTAGTTGTTTTTCATTATTATAGCAACTAGTTGTGTTATAGATTCATAACACCACTAGTTGTGTTATGAATCTCATAACGTAACTGAAATACTAAAAAAATAGTGATGTAAAAACGTTATAACTAAACGGTTGTAGATAAAATAAAATATACGACGGCCTTCCCATAAAAGCAACGAGAGGATTTACGTCCCATAGTATTGAAGGACAGAAAATCGAGTGGTTTTGCCCAATAAATAAATTTAGTTATTACTTCCCTCTAGATCATAATATATGATATAGGATTACTTCTGGCTAGATGTTTATATACAATAGGGGTATGGAATATAATTAGGTATGACAAATGGGAGCAATGAGTAATATGATACAAATAAAAAAAAATTATACTATATCGTGGGGACTTTTATATAATTTTATGTTTTAAAAAATGTATCTTCATTGGGGCTTTCTTTTATTTATTCCCTTTTACTTTTATGTAAATACTTTATTTAAGTATTTATTTAATTTCGTTGTAAGGTAAACTAATTATTTCGTGTATCCTTTATATTGGCAAGTATTTTAACATCTAACTAATTTTTAGCAATATAATTTAAGACATAACTTCATCGAAGAGGTATTTAAAATACGAGACTATAAATATGAACTAATTGAAAAGCTTAAAGAAGAACAGAAAGAATTATTCCTTATAAATGAAGAATTACCTAAAGAGTTATGGTATGTAATAAATATAAATACACTTATGGCTTACAGTTGAGGGTTGGAACCTTTGGTGTTATACTGCTAAATAAAACACTAAATCACCACAATACATTAAAACACTTTTACTTTTACACTGGACGGGCGTTTCGCTAACCATGTTATTATTAATGGCAGCAAAATGTGGCTCAACAGGCACAGTTAGAGGGGTGCCTTTTTCGTATATTTTATGAGCTTTTTTTTATGAGAAAAAATGTTTGGAAACTTCGCACAACACAGGAAAATAGGACACCCTATACTCTTCCTTATTAGTATTTTGAAAGATGGCGATTTAACTCTCAGAACTATATTATTATAACTATTTATATGTTGTCTGATAGTCCAGGAGGCAGTGATTTTTTTGTACTTGTTTTTTTCAGTCGGTGAATATGAAATAGTTTGTTCGGATGATGACATAAAATGACAATTTGTGAGTCTGAGAGTCTTGAGAGTATCTTAGAATGTAGAATGAGTAAGAGGGAGGGGGTTAATCACTGTGACCTTAAAGATCTATTGTGCCCCCTTCCTTGAATCATCACACAGTCTATATCCCATCATACCCCTGTTGTAGAGGGGACAGGGTATTTCCCATCCTCCTCTGACAACAGTTCTTCCTCCGAGGGTACACACCCTTCCACGGTTGGAATTTGGCCCTCCGTACCGCTCTTCACAGTCGAGGAGCTTGCCTCCGGCTAAGGAACCCGTGAGGTGGAGGCTGGAGGATCTGTGTCTCCATTTTCTCCACCTCTTTAACTTGATCTGATACCGGTGTTGTCCCGTATCTATAACAGAGGATATGACCCTCTTTCTCTATTGCCTCCTTAGATTTGAGGTCAATTCCTATTGTGAGGAGGACCTGACCATGACCCTCTTCCCTCGAGTTGATGATTCGCCAACTCGATGTCCTTACATTGAAGTTCTGACCCTGGATAAGGCTCAGCAGGCAGGTGGTGGCTTTCTCCTTGCTCCTCGGCAGAAAGACCGTGATGGCCGCCCCTTTAGGGATGTTTTCTCCCTTCACTGCAACCAGTTCCGGCCCCCGCCAATTTTTAAGCTTAGGTGCGATTTAAGGGTTTTAAACCCAGTGTCTTCCTAAACATAATGGATAACTCATTTTTAGTTGTATTATTTCATTACACTAATATATGTCATCATCGTCATCATTATTTTTAGCTTACTCAACAATTTTCAATTATGGTATAACCTCCCTCGTATATGTATTTAGATACCCTCTTTGTAATGTGATCCGTATTGTTGGCTATGCGGGCCCAAGTTAACCTAAGCTAATTTCCTAATATTACGGTCCCATCTCAGGTTTGATATTAGTAATTTTTGTGCTCTATCTGTTGTCTATCCTTCTTGCCAGGTGTCCTGCCCATTGCCACTACTTGAGGTATTTAATTATATAGATGGCATCTATTACCGGGGTCTTTCATCGTATCAACTTTATTTTTTAACTGTTTCTAACTGTCGTTAGACAAAATAGTGTTCTATAGATTTGAATTTGATTGAGTTTGTTCCATAAGTACTCCAAGCTAACTTAATTCTTCTGTTGATCTCTCAGAGAGATCCTGAGCTGCGTACGCTGATGACATAGCGTAAATGTATTTATACGTATATAACGGATATGCCTAAATGTATTTATATGTTATATAAAATTTCATAACAAATAAATCTATTATTTTTAGGAAAGTAGATCCCCCGATTCCAAAATATGATCCGAATGAGTTCCCCGAAGAGAAACTAATACCAAAAATAGTTTTACCGGTGTCTGAGATGGAAACAGAAGATTCCGATATAGTTAAGGAAGTGTTTGTTGAGGCAAGAATAGATATTTTAATTATTTTAAAATTTGTAAATGTATTCATTTATCCAACATTTTTGTAAACCGTAAAACACCCTCTACAGTATGCCCGAAGTGTTTCGCAAAGCATCTCTCGAGATACTTTCAGAAGTTAACTAATTTTATTCATAAGATCACATCAAAAATTTTTCTCAAAGAACTTTCTATTTGGGTTTACAATTTTTTGTAAGATTTTGAAAAATGATATTTGGAAATGATTAAGAAACAAAAATTAGTTAGCCCAATGGGATGTTATAAAATAAAATTTTTCATTGATTTACCCAAAAAATATCATTAAGATTTAAGAAATAATAAGTAAAGTTTGTCCAACTAGAGAAAGCACGAGATCGACCGACAACATCCAAAAAATGACAGAAAATGCAATCATTGTCATGTTGATTTAAAATACCAGAGAAGACAGTTAACAACTGCCACTGTCATGTTCTCTCGCCGTCAGACTAATTAAAAAAACTGTAAATTAACTGTAAATAATTAGTATTATTATTTGAAAAAAATAGCTTATAAAAACATTTCTCATTTAAACGAAACACTTGACAGAAGTATTTACTCCAAATGATGACAATGGATCCACGAAAAATGAAGAAATAGCAACAGTGCTAGGTTAAACGCATCATTTAAACATCCCGACTAAAACATTTACAAAAAAGGAAGTGCTAGAGATGTAGTGGAAAAACTGAATGTTCACAAGGTATTGTTTTATTAGGAGTAAAAATAACACTTCTCTTGGCGAGGCTGTACGTTCAAACAGTACGCACAAAAAGTAATTTTTACTCCGAATAGAACATTCTATTTTTTTTTCAAACGCCACAAATAAGTTTTAAACAATTTCAAACGTTCCAAATAATATAAAAATATTTAAAATGCATACCTTGTATGTAATTATATATCTAGATCTAGATCGAGAAACTATGGTTACGGCTCGTTGTATTTGACACTTTATCATTGGCTTAACTACAGGGGGGCCGGCACCCCCCCCCCCCCCCATGTACTGCTGGGCACCCCCCAGAGAAATCCTGACTTATGACTCTTAGCTAAGTATTTTTATTTGCTTGTGATGCAGTAAAAATGACGTTTTCTAGTTTTGTTTAGTTAATATTATTTTGTTGTGTTCAAAAAATGTGTTAATTTTTATTTTTTTTTAGAAAATTTGGTAATCATCTGATTACGTCCAAAATCTTAAGAAAACTACCAGAAATAGGGATTAAGTTTCTCCCCCAAATTTTTAACCGCATCTGTCTGGAGAAACTCTGTACTCCCAAGATTATTTTGATTGCATTTTGAACGCCAAGATTATTTTGATTCAGAAACCGGGAAAGAACCCATCCCTTTAAAATATCACCACCCCATCAGACTTCTCCCAGTCCCTTGCAAGGTTCTAAAAATTCTCCTTCCTAAAACGCATGACTATATGAATTACAGCTTGTAAACTTATACCCGACCATCAATTTGGTTTTCGACAGGCCCATGGTAATATCGAGCTGGTCCACAGGTTGGTAGAGAAGATCAACGAAGCATTTGAATACAAATCCATTTGTTCCGCTGCCTTTGATTCGAAATACGCAAAAACCTCTATCTCTTCAATAAAATCATATCTTAGCTTTGCCAAGACAGGCACTTCTCCGTTAAGTACGGCGACAGTGTGACAGTTCTCCCTAAAATTCAAGCTGGAGTTCCGCAAGGTAGCGTGTTGGGACTAATAAATACTTTACCTAATATATACTTCCGATCTACCGAACACACAAGACGCACTAACTTTGGCGCATCAGCAAAGTTGCAAAGAGATTTAACCGAAATATCAAAGTGGCTAAAAGTTGAAGGATAAAAGCCTTGTTTATAAAGTTTATAACATAGGTATACAAGGATAAAAGCCTTGTTTATAACATATACAAGAATAAAAACCAATGAAACTAAGTTAGTCCATGTCACTTACACCCTGAGCTGAGACATTAAACCAAATAAAAATACAACGCCTCTCATATGACGCGGAGGCTCCAAGGAGAACGACAATTTGTAATGAAATGAAATTTTGTGAGCATATGTAGGTTAGTTTTGAGCATTTTTTAAAATTATAGTGAGTAGTACAGGGTGTCCCCAAAAAAGTTACATATCAAAGTTGTATTTTGTGTAACGGAACACCCTATATATTAATTGATTTTCGGATTCTAGGAGGGAAATAAAGGTGAGTTTCATGAAAGAAGCCTGATCAGGTATATGATTAAAATGCAAGGTTTATGACATATTTAACATTTTCTAAAAATAAAAAACAATTTTTAAATTTCAATAAAAGCTACCTAAGCTAAATTTTACGGGTATAGCCTAATATATAGTTAAAATAACGATTGTACTTTAAATCAAATTAAAACTTGACTCAAAAATTTATACAGGGTGAGACAAAATTAATATTCAACATTGGTCCCCTTTAAAAGCAAGTTACTCTTTTATTTTAAATGGAACGCACAGTATATTATTCTGATATTCTATCGAGAATTCAAGTCTCTTCAAAATACTATAAAGGTTGGCTACCTCTCAAAAAAAGATTTTCCTGGATATTTTAATTTTCATAATTTACTATCAGTAGATCTTTATTATTTGATAATTAATCAAAAAAATCTGGGTGGCTGTGATATGCCTGACGTTACTTCAACATAGCTGTCACCAGGCTGTCACAACTTTCTAGACAACTAGTCGTTCACAACTAGATAATTATTATTTTGTATCAGTTAAAAGGGAGACAAATTCTTAGGAATTTTCCCAAAAGTTATTACTTATCCAACATGAGAGAGAAAGTGACATGATCTATTAATTGATGCCTGGAGTGTGCATTCACCCATTTATAGAATGCTTAAATGCTCCTGATTTATCTAGTCTGTTTTTTATGGGGATATGTTAAAGACAGTGCTTACAAATCTCGACCAACTATTATCGACAACATACAACATGAGAGAAATAAATGTGGCTGCTTTTCGAAGTAGGCCACTATGCCACTATGCCTCTTAACATGAAAATATCTTTTAGAAAGAGAGTCATTTTATGCAGTGAACAGAAAAGGAAACATTTTGAGCATTCGATTCCAACTAGCTAAAATTTGTCACATAATAATACGCTTACATCTAGTTTTAATTCTGTAATATGTTTTAAACGTGTATTTTTATTACCGTTGAATATTTTACTCTGCATCCTTTAATTTTTGTTAAATTAACAAAATATATATCACAGCCACCTAGATTTTTACAAATAATAAAGATCTACTGATGCAAAATCGCAAAAACTAAAATGTCTAGGAAAAACCTTAAGAATATTTTGAAGATATATGAATTATTCATTGAATATCGCAATAATGTACTGGGTGTTCCATTTAAAATAAAGGAGTAATTTGCTTTTAAAAGTGACCAATGTTTAAAATTAATTTTGTCCCACCCTGTATAACTTTTTAGGTTAAATTTTAATTTTGTTTAGCATGCAATGGCTATTTTAACGAAATATCAGGCTATACAAGGCAAATTCCAATTTAGGTAGCTTCTATTAAAATTTGAAATTTGTTCTTCATTTTTAGAAAATGTTAAATATGTCCAACAATACCAAACCAAACCAAACCAAACCAAAAACCTTACATTTTAGTCATATACCTTTTTAATAAAACTCGCCTTTATTTTTCTTCTAAAATTCGAAAATCCATTGATATATAGGGTGTTCCAAGTTCCAATACAAAAAACACAACTTGTATGTGTAACTTTTTTTGGGGACACCCTGTTGAACTCTCTGTATATTCAAAAAATGCTCTAAAATAATCTACATAAGCTACCAAAATTTCATTTCGATATAAACGACCGTTCTCCTTGAAGCCTCCGCGTCGTGTGAGAGGGTCAACCCTGTATAAATGTATACTAAAACCCATCTGGACCTACGGCTTGAAATTGCGGGACACAGCATCCGCATCAGACATCAACGATTTCAATCAAAAATTCTTTGCATGACAACTGGAGCCCCATTTTATATGACAAATAATCAACTTTACAATGACCTAAAAATCAAGAATGAAGTAGAAGTATTCAATGCTTACGTATTGTACGAGAATTAAATTCCATCCTAACTTATTGGCAAGACAACTGATGAAAACAGAACCAAATCATACATTTAAAAGGTTAAAAAGACCAGCTCCCCAAGATCTTCTGTAAAAAAGAAAGATAATTGGACAATGGACATATGAATGGATATTGTGCCATACACGCCAACAAGAGAAATTACATAAAATCTACTTAAATGTCGACAGCTCGCTAGAATAAAATGAGTTTAAAATAAATTGAACGAAAAAAAAAATAAAAAAAGACAATATTTGAATTCATAAGTAAATTGCATTTCCTGTCGTTATTGGACGTCGTCTGTCGAAATCTTCCCTGGCTCGTTGGATAGACTTTAGTTCTTCTTCACCCTCAAAAAGAAAATTCCACTTCTCCAACTCCCAGTGGATGACATACCAAGAATTTACAACTTTGAGAAACACCTCACTGTAGTATTGAGTAATAAAAAGGATTGGAAGAAAGAAACGCTTACTCAGCATATAAAAGACCATACCATCACGTGGTATACTGATGCTTCCAAAACCAAAGCAGGGACAGGGATAGGAGTATTTGGGCCGAAAACTGAATACTCCGAACCAATGGGCACCTACCCCAGTATCCTTCAGGCAGAAATTTGCGCTATCGAAAGATGCGTACAATTTATCTTGGATAGGAACTATAACGAAAACAGGAAATTGCCATCCTATCCGATAGTCAAGCAGCACTTAACGCGATCAACTCAGCAACCATCAATTCGAGGTTGGTCAAAGAATGCCTAGAGAAGCTCAACAAATTAGGCAAAGAAAATAAAGTCCTCCTACTCTGGGTGCCTGCTCACCAAGGGATAGAAGGCAATGAAAAAGCAAATGATCTAGCTAGGAAAGGAGCGAACACTCCACTAACTGGACCAGAACCGTTCTGTTTTCCAAACGGGAACCAACTGAAAGCGGAACTGAAGAATCTGGAAGACTCCATCCGTAACTTGGAATGGGTGTCCTCCAACGGTCTAAGACACTCGAAAAAGTTCCTTAGAACTTATGACCGAGAAAAAATCAAAGGTTTTCCTTGATTTAAGTAAAAACAATCTTCGATTGTCACGGGGTTTCTAACAGGACACTGTCTCCTCAACGAACACCTCAGTAGGCTGAAACTGAGAAACAACGGCGAATGCAGATTTTGTGGGGAAAATGGGGAAACACCAGAACACCTTATCACTGAGTGCGCCGAGACGACGACCATTCGTGCCATGAACCTTGGCACGTCTGATGTCGAGGATGGAGAGCTGGCCTCTGTGGAGCCGTCTCAGATACTGGCTTTTCTTAAAGCCCTGAGACTGTATGATGAGTTATAACTCGTTATAACTCAAGAAAGGGGAACACACAATAGATCTATAAGGTCGCGGTGATTGACTCCCCTTCTAAATATTCTACATTAGTTCTTCTTTATCTCCTTCTTTTCTAAGCTTATAAAAAGTAAAAAATAAATCAGTTCTATTGGTACCAATGTCAATCCAGTTAAATTTTTAAGTTTATCCTGAATTTCAAAATCTAAACCTTTCGTCAGTTATGCTTGTAGTTTTTATGACTTAAAAAGTCTGTGATTTTTATAATTCTTAAATAAATGAGTCAATAAATATCATATTTATAGTGTCCAACCGGAGATGAATTAGAAAAACAAACATTGCAACGCAAAGGTGATATTAAATACGAAAATGGAGTATTTTCCAGCAATATTCCATGTGAAGAAGTTTTTAAATGTATGGACTTAACTTTTAATGAATTGGCTAATATTCCTGAAGACGTAGAAACTCCATTTGAATCTTACTCAAAAGTTCAGCGATTAAATAGGTAGGTATTACTTATTTACATAAAAATTGTAAAGATAAGTAACAATTTTTAGATAAAAAACAATTACATATCATTTTTCATTAAGTTTTTTTAACTTAAGAAAAAGTAGATTGAACATAAGCATAAAAAATAATTTGGATTTTGATGTCCCGTCCGTCCAAGAATTTTCAATAGCACCATTTCAAGCCCGACTTTAATTTGACTATCATTATAGGTCTTTTTAGTAGTACGGTAAATTTCTATCTTTTTCTACGCTAAAAAATCTATCTTTTCTTAAAAAGTTATAATAACAGAACTGGTGTCTGAGTAACATTTTCTAAAATATTTCAATCTTTCCATTTTTTCCCGTCCGTCCGCTTGAAATGGTTGATCAGGAAAAATAATGTATCTCTCAGATACAATAGGAGTGAGGAAAATCTGATAGATGGCAAAGAAAAATAATATTTTCGCCAAGGCTTGGAAAACTTTTGTAAAGAAACCCGTTACCGGAGTGTTTGTAGCACAGTTTCACGTTTTTTTTACAGCCGAATAAACATAACTCATGTATAAATAGGGTAGATTAGGATGTTATTTTATATATCTACTTGATAGTTGATATATACGAAACGTTGTTTTGTATAAATCAGAAAATAAAATCAGTGAAAGTTTGCTATAACTTTTTTAACATTTAACTTTAACGTTTGACATTGTTTTATTTCAATTTCTAGACAGTTGTTTAATCAGACACTTAAAGTACTCCAGATGGAAGAGATGATAAATGATTTTAACAACTGGATATATATGGCACGGAAGGAACGGTTACCCATTCTCATTGGTGGCAATTTCATAGATATCTACATGGTTTGTGTGAATGAGGAGCTCCAAATTTTGAAAAATTCTGAAGCAGAAGAATTTAAGCTTTTAGAGATCGTTAATAACAAATTGAGTGAATTGCATGACATGGAGGTACAATACAAGTTTTACAATACATACATACAAGTTTTGATTAAACTTAATTTTAATTATTCACGTTTATTGACTCAACGTAAAACAATATCTGCATTTTTTATTTTGAAATGTAACAAAATCGAAGTCACTGACGAACCGGAAACTAAGTCAACCATATTAAAACAATACCGTTCTCGCGAATGGGCTCTTTCACTATATTTTGGAATTAGCATAATTGAATAAAGCAATTAATTCTAGAATTTTCTGCTATCTCACTTTTGAAAAATTTGAAGTCGTTCTTAAGAAAATAAATAAAAACAAAAAAGCCCAGAATAAAAATCCGCACTTTATTTTTAATGCGTCACGCCTGGCATGTTGAAAAGCGGCAACACGGCCGGGCCACCATGCTGACCCACCACCACCTCCACACAAAGCCATTCAACCTTTTCCAATATGGCGGAGATAGAAGTGCTTTATTTTGGCGCGTATTTTAAAACCTGTTTTATTTCCAAATAGACATGTTTCACACAAATGTCGGGTTAGATTACGTAATATTTCACTAATTTTTTAATATACAGGGAGTCTAAAGCTCTCCACATAAGTATGGCATTTTTTGTATTATTACTTTTCTGAAAACATCAGTTGTTATTTTTTATAAAAAGGTCTGCTTTCTCAGAAAATAGGTAGGTAGTGTTAAAATATTCAAACTTAAGGTAGCATATATAGGGTGTTCAAAATCATGGGAAAAAGAAATAACCGGAAATATATGACAGAAAATAGCAATATAAACTAAATATTCAACTGCAAACACTTACTTACCATACTTTAGAATTTACTGCACGTTTGATAAATATATACTATTGTGGACAGTAGAGGAAGTTACTTGTCTAAGTAAATAAAAGCCTTGGTAAATGCTCTTGGAATTATAAACTACACTGGCTTGAGTCAAAAAATATGGAATATTTTTCCTATGTTTTGCAGCATTACACAAATGGGAATAAATTTAAACTATAATAGGTGAGGATAACTAAAAAATATAATATGTGTTTCAAGATTTTATATAGAAAAAAAACTAAATACCTTTTTGGGGGTTCGTAAGTAAAACTTAACGCTTAGCTTAGTTTTCTTTACTCTTTCTCTTTACATAGGGCATTGTCTTTGTGGTAAAGACGCCATTCCTTTTTTGCATAGTTCTTCAATAAAATATTGGATATTCTGAACAAGATGGATTTAATAATAAATTCTGAAGTATGTGAGGGGCAATTGTGACCTAAAAAAGACTTACATCCAGGCCATTTATATTTTCAAATGTCAATGTTGTCAATATCTTTCTGTGATCTTTTTGATGCAAAAAGCTTGATTATTCTTCCAATATTTTACTTAATGTGACGGAAGCGTAAGCATTAGCTAAACCTAACCTAACCTAACCATAACATCATCCCCACTAGGGTAACAGAGGCTTTGGCCTTTGGCCCTTTTTGAGGCATATTTATTACCCGAGAACTACTAGTAGGAGTGAAATTATCTCTTTTGATAGCTGTCAACCATTTTTTACGAAGCTCGTCATTTTTGGGGAATATAAAAGCAGAAACATTGGGACCCCCTCTATAATTCTCGTGAGAATTCGGAACAGAGCAGGTAAAAGGTATGCTACAATAAAATGTTAATACCTACCCTTTAATACCTGTCTTTTGATTATTGTAAGTAACCATATATAAAGTACTATGCAGACTGGTGGTGAAGGCTTTTTACTCATTTAGGTGTAATATCTTGATAAATACTTCTAGTTCTTACCTTAAAATAATTAATAGTAGAGGAGTACGACAAGCACAAAAGTTTGAATTTCCCTATGTGGAATGTCTGGTTTGGATTTTTATTACACTGTTATTTTATCACAATTTTCTGATCACACCATGCACTGAACACTAAGAACTAAACAAACGTGTTGCAGAAGCACAACAAACTAAAGATAATTAATTATTTCTGGTATGCAATCGGAACGAGAAACCACTACAGGCTTTTCAGGTTAAAGGTAAACCATTTAATAATGCGCTGCCTTCGCCGCCATATTTGCCTTCCCATATCATGTTGATTGGCCTTGAGTTGAGGTGGTGCTGTTCAAATCAAATCGCAATGTTGCCAGTTGTTGGCTGGCTCACGAGCACGGTTCTGCAATGTGTTTGGGCGTATTTTTCATACGTCATCAATTGGCGCTTTAAAATTATTTCAAATTAAAGCAATTTTGAAGGCCTATAAAAAAATTATTCAATGTCATGGAACGATTTTTTTTGGATAAATATACTGAAAATAGTCTTCTATTTCAGATTTTGTCCTTGAATTGGGTATTTTATTTTTTGTGAAAGAGCCCATTTTGTTTTCATAGTCCTTTTTTAGTCGTTTTAGCTGATGTTTGAATAGATATTAATTGTATTTAGAATATCACATTATTTATCAAAATTTTATGTTTTTTTTATGGTTTTCCACCTTCTTCTTATTCTTCTTCAACCCGCCTTTATCTACTACTATACAGGGTGCTACAAATTCGAGGTACGAGCACTGGTATCTCGGAAACCGTAATAGATACGAAGATGGTTAAATTGGGGCAAAGTTGCGACTTGGGATGTTCACCAAGATGCCATCAAAAAAGTTTTAAAAATTTCTGAGTTTTTTTGGAAAAAACAGATTTTTTGGAAAATCAATTTTATTTTTTCCTGTCGTTACTTTTTAGAAAATCTAAAAACTAATTGCACATTCTCATAGCCACTTTATTAGAGCTATCCGATAGTATTTTTATATTTTCAAATTAGCTGATAATTTGTGAGATACACAGGCCAACAACTTAATTTTTTTAAATACGGACCTGCATTTTTTATTTTAGGTTTTGAAAGAACTCGATCTCCTGACTACAATGATATGCTACACTCAGGGGCGGATACAGGAATTTATTTTAGGGGGGGGCCAAAATAAAAAGTAATGTAGAATATGCTTTTTAGGGCGCCATTTTTAACCCAAAAGTCTAATATTTAACACAATTTACAGATTTTAGGGGGGGCCCGGGCCCCATGGGCCCCCCTCTGTATCCGCCACTGGCCACACTTTATACTTTTTTTGTCTCGGACATTTGAACACAATTTATTTAAACTAATTTCAAGTCCGGCTCTGTTTTTTTAAATATAAATCAGTTAAAAAGTAACGACAGGAAAAAATAAAATTAATTTTCAAAAAAATCCATTTTTTCCAAAAAAAAATCAGCAATCCTTGGAATTTTTAAAACTTTTTTGATGGCATCTTGGTGGACATCCCAAAACGCAACTTTGCCCCAATTTAACCATGTTCGTATCTATTACGGTTACCGAGATACCAATGCTCGTACCTCGAATTTGTAGCACCCTGTATAGAGATCTTTCCTATCCTTTTTCATTTTCCCTGTTCTGTGCTGTATTTAACCACCGTTTAAACTTGATTTTCATGCATCCGTTGTCCGACGTTACGATGATACGATATTAATTTTATTGGTTGAATTGAAAGGCTTCGATTGGTTAACCGTTTCTAACCAATCGAAGTCGGAAGTCGGAAGAGTTTGACAAGTCTCAAAAATATCAAGTCGAATTCATGCACGCATCTGCGTCCGTGTTCCTTCGCGTATAGTCACTCCAATCATATTGTTATGTTTTTCGTTGGTTCTGTGTGGACAGAAAGTCTAATTTATTTAAACACAATTTATTTTACACTAAGTAATAAAAACAATAACGATAAAACTACTTGAAGAACTATTTATAACTTATTTACAATTATTTAACTTAAAGGAATTTATTTTGAATTTAGCGCGGCAATTGTACGCATCGACCGAAGCTGTTTGTTTTTTCCCTCCTCAGGCCCCAGGTTTTATGTATGAGAGAAACAGACAGTCTAGATCTTAGTCGAATTTTCTGTTTATGTCTGGTCGCCGTTCTCTGTTTCTCCGAATTATTCCATTCGCTTTCGAATGGGAGCAGTGGCGGATACAGAGGGGGGGGGGGCCGTGCCCCCCTAAAATCTCCTGGCTTTTGGGTTAAAAATGGCGCCCTAAAAGGCATATTTGGCATTATTTTTTATTTGGGCCCCCCTAAAATAAATTTCTGTATCCGCCCTTGAATGGGAGCGGGGCATGATACAAAGAAAACAAGGTATGATCGATAGCGGCTCCAATTTCGCTAAGTTTGCGCATACCACCTGTGACGTCATACGCCATACAAAAAAATATGCATATTGTTAAATTGCCACTAATAAAAAAAACCTAAAATAGGGAAGAATTAGGACATAACCCCAAAAGTTATGTCAAATCATCTAGCATGACATTTGAAAAATTATTTTCACATTTATTAGCTTACTTCGGGTTTCTCTTATTACCGATTCTGAACCGTCCTAGAACTGTGATGCGTATGCGCAGAAGGAAATATGAAGACATTATTTCACTTGCGCATGCGCTGCGGAGTTCTAGGATGGTTCAGAATCGGTAATAACAAGAACCCGAACAAAGCTATTGTGTCATCTGTTTGACAGTTTGAAATTGGCGCGCGGAGCTTGCCGACCAATGGTGCCGTTTATCACCTGTGACGTAGTGAACAACCTGCGCAATATCATACCTTGTATTCTTTCTATCATGGGAACGGGGCATATTAGTCAGGTTAGGCCGAGTCCACACGGGTCCGCAACATTATTGAAAGATGTCATGTCTATAAACCAATAAGACTGGTTAAAAACAACAAGAGTCGACATATGATGGATTTACATAATATACACCCATCCACAGTTAACTTTAAAAATATTAGAAACTTTTCTGGAAGATGTTCTAATCCGATATAGGTTTCCGACTGGTTTTCTATATTTACAATAAATACATCTTGAAATTTATTATTAGAGTATATTTTGTAGTGTAACAATCCAAATTCGTCAACAAAGTTGAAGAGGTAATATTTTGGCCAACTGTATAACAAGAAATTTAAATGAAAGAAAGGAACCTACGTTGTGTTAAATATTTTTTTTTTGCGATTACCTCGGATGCGCCTCGACAGAAGCAATATTTTAGGAAATTTGAGGAGAATAGGTTATGTTTTGAATTTAAATAAATATGTCTATTTTTAAATAGGCGGTTCATCTCAATTTGATGTCATAAATTATGACATCATAAACATTAAATATAAAAGAATGTCTATCATGTATACTTCAATTATGCTGCAATAATATCTATTACTGGATCCAGCTAAACGCATATTTTATGTAATAAAAAAATAATAATAATAAAATAATTTACATTAACTTAATTATTTAACGCAATATTTTATATTTATCAAAATAATACATTTTTGGTTTGGGTTAGGTTAGTTAGTTATTGTCTGTTTACAACCTTATGTATCCTTTTAATTTTAGGACATTTTGGATACTATGAAAGCAAAGAAAGAGGGCTGTGAAAAAAAAATTGAAAATTTAAAATCTGACGAATTAAAAATACACGAAAGGTTTAAAATGGCCGCTGAAAATAACAAATTCTTCGATTTTTTGAAAAAGGTATTCAGAAAGAAATATCGACCTCCCAAGATGAAAACAGATGGTAAATAAATTTTGTTTAATGAAAAATAAGTATTCTTCATTTCTTTATTATTTCTTTATAAGGTACTAAGGTTTCTGCTAAAGAATTATCGAAAATTTTTCCTTTATTTGTGATGGAGAAAAAATCAACAACTCAAAAACTGGACAAGTCAATCCCGTGCGCTCTAGAAACCTCATATAACACGTGACGTGTCTAAAATATAGCATTGCATCACCGGAAAAGGCTTTCAATTAAAATGTTATTTCTTTGTTGATGATTTTTTTCGGGTTACTGGTTAGTTTTAGTTGGCATACTCATATACATATAACTAAAATATACTCAGCCTAATCTCCAAAAAGTGAAGCCCAAACAATGAAAGAGAAATATGGAATTTTGCATAAGTCTATTTCACCCGGATATTCTTTTAACTGCGCATGCCTTACCTGAAGAAGTTTTCATTGGTCGGTGTTTTTAAATGGAAGTGTCGTGAAAATGAAGTGCTGACATTTCACCTAACCTTCAATTTTATTTATATTTTTATTATTTATAACACATTATCGTGGAGTTGGAAAAATATCAAAAAATGATTGGAAACAATAAACTAAACAAAATCACTCTTTTACGCACACAAATAAAAAGTAATCCAAATAGAACTAAAACAACAATCAATCGGAGTTTGGCGCAATCGCAGTTCAATCAATATCCGTGTGAAATAGACTTATGCAGCATTAATATGGAGCTGAGTTATGTTGTCTTTTTCTTACGGCACGAAAACAGCACCCGGGGTTAAATAGGGAACACTGAGTGTATTTTAGTTATATGTATATGGGCATACTATGCTCAAATTGAAAAACAGTATTGAAAATTAATTATTATTTGTTTAATCGAAAAACTCGACGTTATTAGCACAATAGTTTATAAATATAGAAGGCATTTTTAGTTTAAGATGGTAGCAAAATGTTAGTTTTGTTATAAGTTTTTATAATTACCAACAGGATGTTTCAAAAAAGCATGTGCCATCTCTCGTGGGGGAAATGCCCACGTAATGGTATTTATACATTGGCGCGCTGCGCCGCGAACGCGCGGCACGCGCGCACCAATTCGTACCTATTGGTACGTGTTTTCAAGTTGCGCGCGCTCCGCGTGCAAACAACTAGCGGCGAACCATCTCCAGTCGGTATTTCGACGCTCCGCTTTGTTTGTTCGTTGTTCAATTACCATTTCATTTAATTGATCGCCTATTAGTTTAATTTGTAATAAGCAAAATTTTAAAATTAACATGATACTCGAGATGAAAATAAAATGGAAAAATTTGTCGAGAATTATCGTACATGGAGAAATAAAAAAAATCAAGAAACCAGAAACACTAAATAATTTATGAGAACTACTATTATTGTACTATATTATACTGAACTAACGTTTATCATTATGAATATGTATTAACAAATAAAATATTCGTCTAGATGAACAAACTTCATCCTCATCATCTTCAAGTTCTGAGGAATCTGATTATGAAGAAGACGAAGGTAGCATCGATTCACGCGACTTTGGCTTTATGAAGCAAGATATTAACGTATGTCCTAAGGGATGTGAACCAGCTCTATTTAATTTAACAGTAGAACTAAGGACCACAAGGTATGTCTTATTCGTATAAACACACAACATGAATAAATAATTTTGTACACGATATTAGACTCCCTCTAAAAAACAATGTTGCGATTTTTTTTTCTTAGAATTTTTTTTTGTTTAAATAGGAGATAATACTGCAAAATTTAAATTTATTTATTATTATTACTAACCATACGGTTAATTCTGTATACATTTAGACATGAAATTGAACAAACCGAAAGAGAAGAAGTTACATTAATGGAAATAACCAAAAAGAATATTGATATACAGAATAAAAAAATGGCAAAAGTACGTGTGGAGTACCAAGAATGTGTAAACACATTGGAGGAATTTCGAGTAAGTCGTTACCTTTATGAATATACATATATTGTTAAGGTCAAGGTGTATTACTGGTTGCATAACTGCATTACACATACTACATAACCGCAACGTGCATTGAGCCAAACCTGGCGAATTCAACAGAAAGTAAAAGAAAATTACAGAATTCTTTAGAAAATTCCAGAAACCATCGCCAGGGGGTATATAAGGTCCGCGCTTTGACAGTTGGACCAGTCTGAAGATAGTCTGAAGATAGTCTGAAGTCTGAAGTTTGATAATACCGCGAAATACCGTTAGAGTAATAGTAGTTGCATAAATTGTGTTGTAAATAGTATAAGTTGTTTGTACAGAGTGAGACAAATAAATTCGTTAAGTATTTTATCGTGAGTTTAAATAGTGGACCCAGGGAATCCGTAACAATTGGTGTCGGAAGTACGATTCAAGAAGATTTTAAGAAGAAATTAAGTTGATTGGAAGATTTTTAGACCGAATCAGAGTATTTTTATGGTTGGTACAAGGGAGCAAGCGAAGAAAATGGAGGAAGTAAGCAAATTATTGGGCGATTTTATGGAGAATATGAGAAGAGAGAAAGCAGAAGAAAAAGACGAAGAAAAATTACGCCGTCAAGAAGAACAGGACCGGCTTGAGAAAATTTTTGAAGATTTGAAAATTCAACGACAACAAGAAAAACAAGAAGAACACGACCGGCTTGAGAAAATTCTCGAAGATTTAAAAGCTCAAGGACAGCATGACAAACATGAAGAACAGGACCGGCTTCAGAAAATTTTCGAAGATTTCAAAGTTCAACGACAGCACGACAAACAAAAAGAACAGGACCGGCTTCAGAAAATTCTAGAAAATCAAGAAATTAGACAAGAACGGTTGGAGAAAATTGTTGAAGATTTAGAAGTACGTCGCCAGAAGGACAAAATTGAAGATCAAGACCGCATGCAGAAAAGTCTCGAAAATTCGGAAAGAAGACAGCAGAACCACCTTCAAGAAGCCGTAGAAGATCTGGAGAAGCGCCTTCAGCAGAAAATGGAAAAATTAGAGATGGACCTACAGAAGACCAAGGCACAAGTAAGAACACCTGGCGTTCAAGGAACTGCGAACCTTAAGGCCCCGACCTACGATGGACAAACCACCTGGACGATGTACCACCGCCAGTTTGAAGCAGCGGCTGCTGCCAATGGATGGACTGACCAAGAGAAAGCAGCAGCACTTGTCATCGCGCTGCGTGGCCCTGCCCTGAAACTGCTGCAAACTATTCCTGCAGCCCAACAGCAGGAATACCAAACGTTGGTCGCTGCACTGGACAGAAGATATGGCGACCAACATCGATGCCAACTTTACCAGACTCAGATCAAGACACGCCTGCAGAGGTCCGGAGAGAGTCTGCAGGAATTTGAAGCAGACTTACGTCGGCTGGTACATCTGGCATATCCAGAAGCTCCGGAAGGATTTAGGGAGGAACTCGCTGCTCAGTGCTTTATCAGTGGATTAAAGGACAACGAGTTACAGAGGGCGCTGCAAATATCCCGATTTTCTACAAGCAGCGAAGCACTGGTCAGGGCGCTGGAAATCGAAGCTGCTTTTAGCGCCATCCCTAGACCGAAGATAAGATCTGTAACGGTCGAGGAACAGCCCGGAAGTTCTCACATACGTTTGGAGGAGATGTTTAGTAAACTATGTGAGTTACTAGTGAACAAGAGTAGCAACAACACCCAGACAGAGAATCATAGAAGATCCCAGGAAATAAGGTGCTATAGATGTGGCAGGAATGGCCACATTAAACGGGATTGCCGTGTCCAAATGCGATCCCGTTCACCATCCAGAGAACGTAGGCACCAGGAAAACTAAAATCAGTCAATACTAAGGGGCGAGTATTGACTGGGGAGAACAGAGCCCCCAGGATTTTTTCCATTAGGAGTCTGGGAAGAACCGCTGACAGTTTAGTGATCGACGGGAAAGTCAATGGAAAGGGAATCCGAATGACAGTGGACACTGGCGCTATGGTATCGTTGGTGCGGGCTAACTCAGTGCAAGGATTGAAGCTGATGCCTCTGAGAAGAAGAGTGTGTTTACGTACAGTTACGGGGGAAATGGCCGTTGTACGGGGAGAGGCTATCGTCGAACTGAAGTTAGGAAATTTGAAGTTCCAGCATAGCGTTTTAGTGGCAGATATTGAAGATGACTTCATCTTGGGCATGGATGTGATTCGTCAACATGGATTTTCGTTCGATCACCAGAGAAATATCCTGAATATCGGAAATGAAGAGTTTATGTTATCTCCAGACGAGGGACCAGGAAGAATGGATGTAAGATCAGCGGAAACTGTGGTGATACCTGGTAATACCGAGAAGATCGTATTCGGTAAAGTGGAGAAAATCGCTGGGTGCTGTGTTGGACTGGTACAAAGTAGCGACAACAAACAAGATAGGTACTTAGTAGGAAAGTCATGGGTGAACACCGACAAGAATATACCGATCAGAATTGCGAATGTTTTCCCGAATTGTGTCAAGATTCAAAAAGGTGACAAGATAGCCATCTGCGAACCTGTAAGAAGTGTCACCCGATGTGATGAAGTGCCGTCAGCTGTTACACAAATGGCATCCAAAGAAACACTAAAACATCTAGAGCACCCATGGGATCACCTAACATCTGAGGAGAAACAGAAGGCTAAGCAGTTCCTGCTAAAGCATGGCAGTATTTTTGAGAAGAACAACAGTGGAAGAACAGATTTTGTGAAGCACCGGAGTAATACTGATCATGCTCAGCCGATTCGACAACGTCCTAGAAGGTTGCCCCTGTCCAAACAACAAGAAATGGAGACAATGGTAGATAAGATGCTAGAAGATGGAGTTATCGAAGAATCATCGAGTCCATGGTCATCTCCTGTTGTTTTGGTGACGAAGAAAGATGGTAGTACACGATTCTGCGTGGACTATCGGAAGCTCAATGACGTCACTAAGAAGGACAGCTACCCACTGCCACGTATAGACGACACGTTAACCACACTGGCAGGTTCGTGCTGGTGGATACTGGCAAGTTGGCCTGGACGAGGAAGACAAAGAAAAGACGGTTTTTTCTACAGGAAACGGACTATACCAATTCAAGGTCATGCCGTTTGGGTTATGCAATGCTCCAGCTACTTTCGAACGTCTCATGGAGGTGGTGTTAAGAGGATTAACTTGGAAAACGTGCTTGGTTTACCTCGACGATGTATTGGTTATGGGAAGAACTTTTGAGGAGCACTTGCGAAATTTAGGAGAAGTCTTCGGCCGCATACGGAATGCTCACCTGTACTTGAACCCGAAGAAGTGTAGCTTATTCCAGCGACAAGTGGAATTCTTGGGTCATGTAGTCTCGGCAGACGGAATTTACACCGACCAGAAGAAAATCGCTGCGATCAAGGATTGGCCTAAACCTCGCGACAAACATGAACTTAGAAGTTTTCTGGGTTTATGCACCTATTACAGAAGATTTGTCAAGGGATTTGCCAATATAGCTGCACCCTTACATAGACTTACAGGTGATGAAGTCGGCTACGAATGGAACACCGATTGTGATGTAGCCTTTGGAAGACTTAAGGCGGCTTTATGTTCAAGTCCTATTCTAGCCTACCCGCAACAACAAGGGAGGTATATCCTGGATACCGACGCCAGCAATATCGGCATAGGTGCAGTGCTATCACAAGTGCAAGATGGCGAAGAACGAGTGATAGAATATTACAGTCGAGTTCTATCCAAACCAGAAAGGAATTACTGCGTTACCCGGAAGGAGCTGCTAGCAATTGTAAAGGCAGTTGATCATTTCCATAAATAACTGTATAGCCAAGAATTTTTAATTAGGACAGATCATGCGGCTCTCAAGTGGCTTATGGAGATGAAACAACCTGAAGGTCAAATAGCGCGATGGCTCGAGAAGCTCCAGCAGTATCACTTTACCATCCAACATCGTGCTGGAAAGATGCATGGTAACGCAGACGGTTTGTCCAGAAGACCCTGTCAGAAGATGTGTGATCTGCTTGGTATTCACAAGACTAGGACAACAGCTTTACATCCGCAGTCTGATGGGATGGTCGAAAGATTCAATAAGACCATTGAAGAACACATCTCGAAAATGGTGGACGAACATCAAAGAGATTGGGATCAGCACATACCGCTATTCCTAATGGCGTATAGAAGTGCAGTTCACAACACCACCGGACTTTCACCATCGAAGATTTTGTTTGGTCGAGAATTACGGTTGCCTTGGTGTGTGACTTGGCGTTCGGATCACCAGACGACGGCACCACAAACGTAGAGGACTACGCGGATGAACTGAAGGAAAGGTTATTGGAAATTCATCAGACCGTTAGAAGTAAGATTGCGCTAGCCAGTGACCGGATGAAAGCTCTTTACGACCTCAGAGCTAATTCTACGGGATTTCAACAGGACGATAGGGTATGGTTGTATAACCCACAGCGCAAGAAAGGAAGGTCCCCTAAGTTAACTCCAGCAAGGGAAGGTCTTTATACAGTCATCAAGAGGATAAATGATGTTTTGTACCGGATTCAATGCAGCCCTAGAAGTAAGATGAAAGTAGTTCATCTGGATCGATTGAAGAGATACCAGACAGGAAACCTTGATCGGGACGATCAAATTTGAGAAGGGGGCAATGTTAAGGTCAAGGTGTATTACTGGTTGCATAACTGCATTACTGCTACATAACCGCAATGTGCATTGAGGAACCTGTCGAATTCGACAGAAAGTAAAAGAAAATTACAGAATTCTTTAGAAAATTCCAGAAACCATCGCCAGGGGGTATATAAGGCCCGCGCTTTGACAGTTGGACCAGTCTGAAGATAGTCTGAAGTCTGAAGTTTGATAATACCGCGAAATACCGTTAGAGTATAGTAGTTGCATAAATTGTGTTGTAAATAGTATAAGTTATGTGTACAGAGTGAGACAAATAAATTCGTTAAGTATTTTATCGTGAGTTTAAATAGTGGACCCCCCGGAATCTGTAACAATATATATATATATATATATATATATATATATATATATAATATATATATATATATATATATATATATATATATATATATATATATATATATATATATATATATATATATATATATATATATATATATATATATATATATATATATATATATATATATATATATATATATATATATATATATATATATATATATATATATAACGTAGGCACCAGGAAAACTAAAATCAGTCAATACTAAGGGGCGAGTATTGACTGGGGAGAACAGAGCCCCCCATTTTTTTCCATTAGGAGTCTGGGGAAGAACCGCCGACAGTTTAGTGATCGACGGAAGGTCAATGGTAGGAGAATCCGAATGACAGTGGACACTGGCGGTATATATATATATATATATATATATATATATATATATATATATATATATATATATATATATATATATATATATATATATATATATATATATATATATATATATATATATATATATATATATATATATATATATATATATATATATATATATATATATATATATATTGTTATGCTCTGCCCTAATTTAACCATGTTCGTATCTATTACGGTTACCGAGATACCAATGCTCGTACCTCGAATTTGTAGCACCCTGTATAGCCGCAATAGGTTAAAATAATAGAAAATAGATACGAACATGGTTAAATTAGGGCAGAGTTGCGCTTTGGGATGTTCACCAAGATGCATCAAAAAAGTTTTAAAAATTTCAAGGATTGCACATTCTCCTAGCCACTTTATTAAGGCTATCTGATAATATTTTTAGATTTTCAAATTAGCTGATAATTTGTGAGATACAGAGGCTAATTTATTTTTTTTTAAATACGGACCTGCATTTTTATTTCAGTTTTTGAAATAACTCGGTCTTTTGAGTACAATGATATGCCACACTTTATATATTTTTTGTTTTGGGTACCTTAACAAGAACAAAACTACACTACTCAAAACAATTATCGCATATTTTCTAAAAAAAATATTAATTTGAAAAACAAGACACTTTGAATTCCCTGACTTACGATTTTAAATAGTATGGATATTGTGAAGGGAAATTCCATACAACAAGCCTGCGCGCGACATCTAATTTTTAGTCGGCCGACTATTTAGTTGCAAAAGTAAAAACAATACATACTTATGAAGTCAATCGGCGGACTATTTGATTGCATGTGAGCGCGACTCCATAAAGATATATTGGTTACAAATATTGAACTAAATATTCGGCCGATTAAAAATTTGATTACATTTCACAAATATTGGGCCGATCGGCTCCATAAGAATGAATGTTTTTTATTTTTATTTATATATTATTTTCACTTTTGCAACTAAATAGTCGGCCGACTAAAAATTACATGTCAGTGCGTACCTTAATTATCCTAAAAAAAAACTCACAAGAGAAAGGCAGAAAAATGCATGCTTCATTTAGAAATATGTAATAATTATTTTTTTTCAAATATGCGATAATTGTTTTGAGTAGTGTATTTAATTATTATTTAAAATTATTTCAAGTTCGACTCTGGTTTTTAAATTATTTAATCTGATTATATTCATCGCAACAATATTGATCAGCTTTAATTAACATTGAATAAGGAAATTTGAGCCAACTGATTGATTCAAAAAATAATATTCAAGTCAGCAATTTAAAAATATTATTTTTAACTTTTTTTATTGTGAATTTGAAATTTCAGTGTGCGATCTAATAATATGCATAATATTAACCGTAGTTATTATGAATAAATCAACTTATGAATAAAAAAAAATAAAAATGAAAAAAAGAAATAAATATGAAAATTTTTATGATTTTACTACAATTTGGACTTTGACAATGTGTATGCTCTTTTAGATGTTTAAGATTAAAGTAAAGAAATAACGGAAACCTGTTATTTTAAGATGTCATATATAAATAACAGTAAGAGTTTCAACTGTTATTTAAAAATAACGGGTTTGCCTGCCACTAGTTTCTATTGAAACACCTATTCAACAGTTTTGTTATAAATTAAGTTACAATAGTAAACATCTTTATTTCTGTGATAATTATAATGACTTGACAATTGCACGACACCATAATTATAAAAAAACCAGCGTGTACCAGCGACTTCGTTCGCGTCGAATTAATCATTTGTAATGGTGATGATAAAGCAAAGCAAGAATTTCCATTAACGTACAAACTGGATAAAATTTTCTCACATTTATGTCAGCATGAGAAAAAACAATATGGGGATATTATTATATAACTTGGTAATATTTGACGGGTAGTTTCATCTCGTTGGAATTTTACTTTCGAAAAATCCGTTTGCCAAAAATAAGCTTTTTACGTCAAGCAGTTTAAGCAGAATCGTGGTTAATCCATTACCCAACTTTTTGGAACACCCTGTATGATTTTTTAAAAAAATTCAAAATATGTAAAAAAACTGAAAATGAATGAATGAAATTCTTCTATCCAAAAAAAATCCTTATGGGTTTTTCGCCACTGCACTGCAAGAAAAATCTACAAAATAAAATAGTTATTTTTTGTAAACACTTGTGCGTTAAACCTAAACGGACGCTGCTTGTCAGAAGTTGTGTTTACAGTAATAAAAATTTGCCTAACAAAGAAAAAAATGCTTAACGTTTCGGAAAGTTTTCTCTTTCCGTCGTCGGAAGCAAAAAAATATAAAGAATCAAGAAAAAAACTATTTAAAATATTTAAATTGAACTATTCGAGAACACTTTATTTTTTAAAACAGATACGTCTACAAGAAATCGTTGACGTTCTGTTAAAATGACATTATATTAAGTTAAACTTCAAAATTAACAATTACTACCTGATAATTACTTAATAAGGTAAAACCAAAAAGCCCAAACTTTCTGTATGATTATTTTTAAATTTTACGTATGTTATGTTTATTTATGTAAATTCTCGCGAACCTACCATAAAATTTACTTTAGAAGTAGAGAGAGGTAATCGTTTGCCATTTCTTGATGTTTTTCACTTTTCTTTTTTAATTCAATCTAATAAAAGTAAATGTATTGCTCATGCATCTGTAGATGTTAGTAATGTATGGCAATCGCTTCTTTGATTTTAAAGAACATTACATAAATAAACATACGAACTTGACCGTTTTTTAAATAAAAAATATTGTAATATTTGAGGGGTGGTTTCACCCTCTTGGAACTGGAATTTCGAAAAATCCCTTCTTATCGAACCTCTACACCCTAGAATCAACCTGTATGCCAAAATTGAGCTTCTTACGTTGAGTGGTTTCAGCAGGATCGTGATTAATCAGTATGTCAGTCACTTAAGGATTTTATATATTAGTATAGATATCATCCATATTCATTTCCAAGCCAACTTGTAGTGGAATATCATATCGTGCAATAGCTATGTCATTCTAATTATTACAGAAATGAAGATGTCTAATATTGATACCGAATATAAAAACAAAAAAAATTATAACAAAATTTCTCAATAGGTGCTTCAACAGAAACTAAATAAAATAAACTTGGTTTTACTTGGACTTTTTTACATTTTATGTTGTTGATGCGTTGTCTATGATTATTACACAAGCAAATTCTGTTTAAATGAAGTTGAAAATTAGCAAGTTTTCCGAATGAAAGCTGAAAAATGTATATAAAGTTCTAATTGGTAGAATACTTAATTTATTCTTCACTTTTTTATTCTACTCAGAGTCCATAAACTGATATTGAGCGCAACTGAAATACGCTGAAAGATCGTTTTGTATTTTCTTTATATTTTCAAAAGCCGCAAAACCTATATCCATATTTACATCATTGCACGCAGTTTAATGGTAAAGGGCTAATCATGATCTCTTTCCTGCTCAAGATAATTGAGTAGAAATGAAACAAGTTGCCGATTCTATTTAGCGACTTTATTTGGCAATATTTTTGGCGTTTTAATAAAGCAAATTTCGATTTTAACTAAAAAAACCGCAGATTTAAATTCGAACTTGTCAGAGAAAACTCGGAATAAAATTGAAAATGGCAAATCGCAGATCAGAAAAATTAATAAAATCGAAAAAACAAATGTCAGATTTGCTAAGAAAAATCTCATGACAAGCGACATTTGCCATGGCTACCAACATAAAGCCTTTTCTTAGGCCAATTCGATTACTTGATGCTACAGCGTGCTGTCTTTATAACTAGGATCAAAGACTAGGATATAAGATTATAAGAAAAAGAAAAAAGTAAGCTCGAAGTTTGAAACGAATTTTTATTTGTTGGAAATTTAATTTCGTAATAGTTTCGATGTCTTTGATGACGTACGTGCCACCTTCTATTGATTTTTCTATATGTATTAAAAAAATATTAAACGGCTTTACTTTATTTTTTACCTTATAAATTTAGAGAGAAAAACAAAAGAAACTGAATAATGTAAGATGTACAGTTGTTCTGCATATTGACCAAATTTATGGCTTTAATCCCGAATCGAGTGACATATCTGACTTTTTGGTATTTCCCAAATCAAAACTTACAAGTTTATATAACAGAGTTGGATTATTACAGTCGGAAGCTTTAGATGAACAAAGTAAACATGAGTAAGTACTATCATAAGCTATCCCTATGACCAAATTCTTTGGCTGATTACAAAGTTACAAAATTTGACAGTTAAAAAAATTACCTACTATAACTTTCTTTATGATTTAAATGGCGTTTGATCCTGGCTTATTAATCGTAGTGTTATATTATACGATTGAAAAATAAGTCCCCGTCAAATTTCTTTTGAAAATGACAATCCATGATCATTTTTGTTGGTCCGATTCATATTTAAAAAATTGACACTTTTGTCTAAAATCAGTATTTAAAAGTTTCTAGATACATAAATCTTGAAACCATAATATGTATATAATAATAACTTATTTATTATATATTTGTTTGTTGATAGTCGTCAAGTAGGGATGCATGATTCGAATCGATTTTAATCGAAGATCGATCTTTTTGCCGAAAATATCGATTAAAATCGATCGATTTTTATCAAACGATCTTTTGGTAGAATCGATTTTTTTTCAACATCGAAGATCGATTTTATTTATACATTTTTACAGGTTTATTTATTTGTTAGAATAAAAAAAAACTTTAGTTTTGCTTGAATATTTGATTCCGGTGCATCTCTAATAACAACTCCAAAATTCCGCCATCTAGCAATGAAAAATTAAGTGTAAGTGCTCGATACCGCATGCGCCGAGGTCTGTTTACCACTTTGATATTAGGTGTCAGATTTTTGTCGGTGATTCCCATATTTTTATATTTTAGATAACAGAATATTTTTTGATTTTAGCTTCTTTCCAACCGACTGATATATCAAAATTACAGAATTTACAAATTCTGTGTCAAAATCATCATAAGCATGCAAAAAGCCGAATAATTATATTTTAACATTGTTATAGTATTTTTAATTTTTACAAGTATGTCTCGGTTTGTGGGTGTTTCTGATTCAGTTTGGGATGACTGTTATTCAGTTTCAATTTTAAATGTGTTAATAAACGGTTTTACGATTTTTATGTATCTAATTTTTTTATGATTATATCGTATTTTTATTATACCAGTACACCGATACATTCAGGTTGCAGCCACACTATCCTAAAAACGGCGTAACGGCGTAACGACCTTGAATCGATTTCCAGTTATTCTATTGGCTGAAATTTTTGACAGATGAATTTGACAGATAAAATTTCTGACAGATGAATGTTTCAGCCAATAGAATTACTGGAAATCTATTCAAGGTCATTACGCCGTTACGCCGATACGCCGTTTTTAGGATAGTGTGGCTGCACCCTCAGAATCGAATATCGATATTTAATAAGATCGATCTTTGGTTACCGATTTTTTTCTGGATCGATCTTGTTATGTCCGATCTTGAATCGATTCAAAATATCGATTTATTTTATTTTTGCGACATCCCTATCGTCAAGTATACTATAGAGATAAGGATAGTTCGATTCCTATCTTCCTGCACTGTCAGTTTTTATACGTCATCTGGGGACCGAGTTGAAGTTGGCGCTAAAGATTGACAGTGACAGTTATTTTTGCTTAGACAAGGAAAGAGAGGGGACGGCTAACACGCATATTCTCCCGTGATCGGTTAGTGAGGCCAAAATTCGATAGGCGGCCATACTTTGGTGACAAGATTTCGAGGTGACACCGAAAGAATTTTTATGTTTTTTGTGACAACTGTTTTGTTTTAAATTTATAAACTGTATTGTTTAGTATGGTGAGATGTTCAGCGTATGGCTGCAAAGGCCGAAGCGAGAAAAAAGTGGCTGGAATTACATTTCACAGGTAAAAATCGATACACAACTTTTGCTATGTAGTCATAAAATGTAAATTTTTTCATTATAGCAGTAAAATATTTAAAATGCTTTTAATATGTTTTGTACCACATCCAAACCAAACTATTTTTAATAATTCCAAGTAGTATTTTCAATATCCTTTATTATAATTAATGTTTAAAACTATAAATAATGCTACTCAGCATGGATTTCTCCAGTGGCGTAGGGAATTATAATCAGAGAAATACAATTTCTGCAATAAACTTTTTTTATATATTTTACATGTAAAAAAATGTATAAAGTATTGTTATCAAATAAGTAAAATAATTGTAAACTATAAAAAAAATTAAAAATTGTAGTGATAAAAAATCTATATGTATGTATAGTTGTTATATAAAACTTAAATTTACCTGCCAAGATTTGCTGGGGGTGGACAAACTTGTGGTGGGCTACTTGTTACTACATATATCTTTTTAAATATTCTTTCAAAAAATTTGCTAATTTAGGTGTATAATAATAGTCTCAGTGAGTAATTAATAAAAATTTAAAAATAAATAAAATAACACAAAGCTTCTAGAATTGTTTATTTTTTTGTGGAAAATTAGGATATTCTTATGATTGAAGGTAACAAATATTAAAAATTACATTATTCGTTGAATCCATACGCAAGTGTAAAGGGGAATGGCTAGATTCATTATTATACCGTATGGTCGAAAAAAAACGACGTCCAGTTGGCTTGTAAATGACGATCGACGACATTCCCCATATAATTTTACATGTAAAATGACAGCGATCTTCATTTCATAGCTATCGCTGACGCCGTCTTTTTTCGATGTCGTTTTGTATAGTTTTTATGTCATTTTATATGTAGAATTATATGGGGAATATCATCGATCGTAATTTACAAGCCAACTGGACGTCGTTTATTTTCGATTATACGGTATAATAATAAATCTAGTCAATTCCCTTCACACTCGCTTACGGATTCAATGAATAATGTAATTTTTAATATTCATTTGTGAAATTGTCATTTCCAAACAAACAAGACGCCGTTTTTTTCGATCATACAGTATATATATATATATATATATATATATATATATATATATATATATATATATATATATATATATATATATATATATATATATACTGTTGAAGCTCATATATATATATATGTATATACGTTTAAAACATATGTTATTACATTATTTTTTATTTAATTATACATTATACACACGTTAATAAATAAATAATTGTCTTGATAATCAGTCCACTGTGACTGTTAAATAAATTTTGCATTATCGACTTAGATATTCTAATATTATAAAGGTGAGACTATAAAATACAAAATTGTATATGCATTACTCAAAAATGAACGATATATTAGTTTACGTTTTAATAAATATTTTGTACCGTCTAGGTACAAGCTAATTTCTGATGCTACGCCATTGGAGAATTTCGCGTGGTGACAACTTGCCTCACTTTCGGCTGCCGTGTTACCTGTCCCCTCTCTTTTCTTGTCTAAGTATTTTTGCATTTGACGGACGAGCGCACAGTGCGTTGGAAGATAAATTTAGCGGGACAAAAGCGTTTGATTAGAAATAAGCCAAAAAATGTGTACTGTAAGAATAAATAGTAGACATTCCAATTGATATAAAAATGCATGAATATTCTTTGTATTTCGATACATTTTTATCTACCAAATTTGGTCGTTTTCTGCTCAGCAAGGCAGAGATCATACTGTTGCGGACCCGTGCCGTGTGAACTCAGCCTTACATTAAATAAATTGTGACTTTCTATCCACACGGAACCGACGAAAAACGTAACAATACGAAAACAAAATATTTACAACTGCTTATATTTTATTCCAAAGCCAAATTATGTTGAAGATTGCCAAAGGTATGTACTTTTCTACTGTACGTATATTATTTGTTAAAATCCTTCGTGCCTTTGTTCTGCAGATATCAAACTTTCACTTTTTTTCAAATATCGATATATTGAATGATGCAGATCTTTTGAGTTACCAATAGTTACCAACACAGGTAGTCACAGTCACAGGGAGTTCAAGCTTAACAGGTGAATGCCCAAAAAGTTTCATTTCAATCGGATAGTATAAAAACAGTAAACAACTTCATCAAAAGGCACTGAGTTTAAAAAATTGTCTTAGATACTTACTATATATGAATTTACAATTACCGAGTGTTAAAATTAAAATTAAAATATCTATCTTAATATTTTTAAAATAAAATATAATTTTTTAAAATAAAATATGAGAAGATTACAAAGTAATTAAAAAATAACTGCTAAAGAGTTTTTTGTAAGTATTTCACCTGATATCATAATTTTATGTATTTGGTAATAGTTTACAATACGGTTTTTGTGTGTCATGTACGAATAATAATATCATAGTTTTATTATCTTGTATTTATTTATTAATAAATTAAGTTGTTAATAAATAAATAATAGTTGCTATATATTAAACCATTTGCTACGTTCTTAGATTTTAAGTCCCAAACATTGCTCTTGAGATTTTGTCCCGCTAGAATAACCATCCGCCTCACTGTGGAGCGCTGGTCAGCGCGTGACGTAGCATTCCACGGCGACTACGACAGCGGCGACTTGACGCGATCGAACAGTTCTTTAGAATATATACTATACAGTCCTTAGATAGTCCTATGACATAACATATACAGGGTGTCCCAGAAATAAGTACAGATACTTTAACTGGTAGGTTCTCAAATTTACGCAAAAAATAATTTTTTCGAAAATTTCTAAAAAAGTTAAATAATTCAGTTATTTTGGACTTATTTGAAAAACGTTAAAGAGAAAATATGTTTCGTTTATCGAGATCTACCACCCCTTAAAATATCTGCACATTTCTGCGGTATTTTTTATTACCTTATATAGTCGAGTCGCTTCCTCTTCTAAAAATTTCACAGCGCGCCGCTGCTCCTCTTACGAACAAATTAAAAAATCTGGAAAAGGCCAATTCCTAGGCTATAACTTTTTGTCACGTGATTAAGCTTGGCCGGCTTAAAGGACATACAGGGCCATTACTACCGCTTTCCCGATCAAAATATTCTAATAAAGTTGCGATGAGCTTTTATAAAGTATAACAAAGATAAATACAGGGTGTCCCAGAAATAAGGGCAAATATTTTAAGGGGTGGTAGATCTCGATGAAAGAAACATATTTTCTCTTTATCGTTTTTCAAATAAGTCCAAAATACACGTTGTTATTTTACTTTGAAAATTTCCAAAAAAAAA